ATAAGAATTAGCAACAGTAATCTGGACGTGCTGAACAGGAGCTGGCATGACGCTGCCTCCATCACTTAGTTAGTTAGTTATTGTTATTGTGTGACTTTGTGAATCCAAACTAACCTTTTCAAACACCAAAGTCACACAATAGTACAAACAAAAAATAACTGTGCGAAACAGTGGTAGACCTTCTTCTTCTTCTTTGTTCGGCGTTGTTAAATCACTGATTTTCTCAATGTCATCTGGCTTTGAAAAGAGTGATATAACGACCTAATTTCCCCGCCAGAAACTGTCTGACAGCAAAGTACAGCTGAATTGATATTGTTTTTTAAGGTCGGCCTTAAAAACATTTCGTTGATTTTGTTGCTGATCCCTCCGCAGCAATACATTGCTTAGCTTCTGTGGTGTACTCCTACCTGTTTCTCCAAACTGGGGGCGAGCCAACTGAGATCTACTGTAGGTAATACACTGGCTATGGATAAATACCTCATACAACCCCACTTGAAAAGATCTAAACTATATATATGTACATATACATTCATTTTCTCCTAGCTATTTGGGGTTAGTAGGACCTGATGAGTATAGAAAACTAAACATTGTCAACAACAATAAAGTCCTAGTGTCCTCAAACGAGACGATAATCAAGTTCCAATGTTGAAGACTAGTACTTTCTAATTAACAGCATCTTAGCTTGTTACTGTTGCTAAAATTGGTCAAATTTGTTGCCATATCAAACTACAAACATTATTAGTCATAAATAAACAAGTTTCGACCATAAAATGTGATCAGGTTTTGGACTTTGTCCACTTTTGTGTCGGGATCAGCTGCAGGCTGACTTGGCAGAGATGGCTGCCATCTTGTTTTTAGATGGATTGGTGCATTGTGCTCTTACTACCACTAGATGGCACAAAAATATCCATGAATGAGGACAACAGGTCTGAGTTAAGCAAAATGAAATGTATGGTGCAGTGAACCCAAAATATGATGTCATCATATGAGGACACAGGGTCTCAGGAGGATACATGTATGTATGCATAATTCTTAAATTGCATTTTTTTGTGAATGTTCTTTTACTTCTTTTTCATATTGTTAATCATTAATCATAATTAGATTCACCCAGGATTAAACATTGTTTGATGTGCAATGAGCACACTGCAGTGAAAATTGTCACAAAGTGCAAAACCTTTATAAACAAATCACCAAATTTAATAAAACACAGACCTGATTTCGCCTAATCGTTACCATGGCCTACCAATCACAGCCTCGTCATATTGGTATGAGAAGGGGGAAGAAGAGGACTGAGTTATTAACCAGCAGCAGTGATGTGATACGTCACATGACCGTATCGGGGTCGGATATCTCACTCTGTATCCTCGCCTGCAGATGTGACACTGTGAGCGCACACAGTCAGGAGAGCGCCTCCTGCAGCAGCGCACAATGATCCAACTCCTCCGCTCTCCACCCGGCTGCTGCTTTCGGAAAACTCCAGACTGTCAAGGATTAAATAAAGTCGTCAGTTCCTGAGGGAAGTGCCTAGAAGCCTCCTTTTTTTTTGTTTTGCAACAGCAGCAGTGTTCACCAGTTAAAATCCCATCGCGGGCTCCGCTTGCCTCCGTGTTCAACCACCGGCTCACCTGCAGAGGACAAACCATGCGCTCCCGGGCTGCGCTCCCCCGGTAAGTCTCCTCTGTGTCCGGTTCATCTGCGCGTGTGTCTGGGAGATCTAGAGGAGTCAGAGGACTCTGTAGACAGGGGGGGGGGGGGGGGGGNCCGGGCTGCGCTCCCCCGGTAAGTCTCCTCTGTGTCCGGTTCATCTGCGCGTGGGTCTGGGAGGGGGGGGGGGGGGGGGGGGGGGGGGGGGGGGGGGGGGGGGGGGGGGGGGGCGTGTAAACTAATAAATAAAAATCTAATGTTAACTGCTCTGCCAGATGAACACTTCTCATAAATTGATTCCCCCTAAAATAAAGAATCTAAATATGGCTTTCACTTAATTACTCTGTTATGAGTAGATGCAGTTATGCCATGCTATAGTTTCCATTAACATCTCTGCACCATTTCTCTAATAACAACACTGTATATTGTAGTCCCCTGTCACATAACTGTCTCTATCACCTTTAACCCATTTACAAAAAAAAATAGCGTCTTTATTCAGTGCAAAACAAAATGTTATTCATCCACTTTTGCAGGCTTAAGGCCAATCCCTCAGGCCACCCTAGGAATTTTCCATCAGAGCCTAGTAAGGCCTAATCTTTGCCCTGTCTGTCATATTTGCAGCATTAAAAACAGTGGAAGTTCACAGCTGCCAAATTCCAGGGCAGATGAAAAAAAAATTCCTCAAGCTGAAATGCTCCTCCTCAGTTCCCATGGTTATGATTATAAATCTATGATGCTTGTTTTAGGAATGAGGATGTTTTGTCATGCAGAGGGCCTCAGACATCCGGTCACGTTTAACAGCATCACTGTGCAGAAATGTCTGACAGTGAATTGGAAAGAATTGATCTAATATGTGCTCCTGTCCATCCACAGGTTTACCTCCCTCCTATTTCTCCTCTTCCTTCCCCCTGTTTTTTCCTCCTCCTCCTCCTCCTCCTCCTTCCGTCCCCAGTGGGTTATGCAGCGTGTCCCTGTGGTCCTCCCACAGCAGACGGAGGCTCGATCACCCCCTCACTTCCTTTCTCCGGCCCGCTTGGACGTCAGCTCCCCCTGTGACCCAGAATGCCACAAGAGGGCCCCTCGCCCGAGCTACTGGGACCTGCGGCATCTTCTTGCTTATGAGACACTCCATTCTGACGGTCAACTCACTGAGACCGCTGTTGGGATCTATGGCTATGACCCCACCTCTAACACCAGTCCAGCCTATTCCTCGGGGTCATCTGGGAAGGCTAAGCGGTCACATGTCAGGAGGAAGCGACAGATCTTCGGCCACGATGGGCGTTTTAGCATAGCTGGGCAGAACTTTCTGCTTAAATATCCATTCTCGGTGGCTGTCAAGCTGTCCACTGGGTGCTCTGGTACACTGGTGGGCGACCGTCATGTTCTCACAGCTGCTCACTGCGTTCATGATGGTAAAAACTATGTGAAAGGAGCCCAGAAGCTCCGGGTTGGGTTTCTAAAAACCAAGCAACGAGACGCACAGGCTGCTTCCTTTTACCCTCCTTCAAACTTCACCAACCATGTTGAAGGTGGCTACGCTCCTTACGCCCCACCAACCAACGACAGAATGAAGTTCCAGTGGATCAGAGCCAAACGCACCCACGTGCCTAAAGGATGGATTAAAGGAAACGCCAATGACATCGGGATGGACTACGACTACGCTTTGCTTGAACTCAAGAAACCCCACAAACGCCGCCACATGAAGTTAGGAGTCAGCCCCCCGGCTCAGAGGCTGCCCGGTCGACGAGTTCACTTCTCAGGATTTGATAACGACCGTCCTGGCAAGCTAGTGTATCGGTTCTGTCGGGCCGGTGAGGAGACGTCAGATCTGCTGTACCAGCACTGTGATGCTCAGCCCGGTGCCAGCGGGTCAGGAGTCTACGCCCGGATGTGGGATGGGCGGCGCCGGCGCTGGGAGCGGAAGGTGATAGGCGTGTTTTCTGGGCATCAGTGGGTGGAGAAACAAGGGGCGTCTCAGGAATTTAACGTAGCAGTGAGAATCACGCCTCTCAAATACGCTCAGATCTGCTACTGGATAAAAGGAAACTTTGTGGACTGCCGAGAGGGGTGAGCGGTGTAGCTACGAAACAACGGGCCCGATACATCCTCATGCATCATACTGGAATATCTGGGGCCGCAAGAATCCATGCTTTCAACCCCACTATTTGTAGCACTGATTTAACAACAATGTAAACATTTTATAAACTTTTTTTTTCTTTTGTTGACCCTGCTTTAATGCTGCGTTCAAATGGAATCAGGCAGATGGTAGACGACACCTTCTGGACGGCACAGGATAAACAAACAAACAGTCTGACAGACCAGCAGGACAGTATGTTGCCATAGTGATGTTGTAGTGTAATTTTTCTACCACTGTCCAGTAACTGTCCAGATCAGCTGTGTTTTCGCCTTGTATGAAGGAGCTTCGTAACATCAGGTTGACAAGTCGGATATGGAAGATGGCAATAAGTTAAAATATTTTAATTTTGACAAGCAATGCCATCTACCATTACTGTTTCCATTATTTTCCACTGGTGTTTAATCAAAATTTTTTCCTCCATCGATATGTGCTTCACCCCTGTTAATGCGTAGCGCCCCCATCAGTGGTTAGGGCAAACGTCCACTTTGCCATTTACTATCTCCCTGATTCCATGTGAACGCAGCATAAGCAGCAAATGTCAATGATGTAAATACAGACCTGATCCAGTAATGACACTAAATTATGTAAACAGGGCGTGTTCTGTACTTAGTTTTGCATCTTTACTCACATCTCTAAAAACATGAAAAAGTTAGCTACATTCATGCTAAACATCTACGTCATGTGGTTTTGCAAAACAGAAGCAGGAACACGAACTGATGTATGACAACAACGGGCCCTCAGATGACAAGGAGCAGGACTGGGAAAAACCATTTCCGTTTATGCATTGTAGCCTTTTTATTGTGCTAATACTAAAGATTGCACTGTTGAAACTCTTGAAGAAGTTTTTCTACTGAAAATGATTATTTTTGTGGATGAATGTACAAGTCAGCAACCAAAGGTGCCAACAGTTTGTGTCCAAACTATCATGTATCTCCTCTCAGTGGACACAGCAGTTATCTACAAGGAAGTGTACTCTGTCAGCTGAAATAACTGTTCAACATGTTCTTCTGATGACTCTTCCCAAGGCTGCAGATGATGTTATATGAAGCACATTTTGTTGAGTGTACTTTAATGCTTAGCTCCCTCTTGTGGCAAAGATAAAACATTGCAGGTGTCCAACGTTGTGCAGACTTGGCAAATTTAATGAAATATATGCTTTGAAATAAGCAACTGTGTCACATATTTCTTAATGCAACACATCCATCACACAACACAATCGTTGTTTAAACACCATTTGTTTTATTTTGGATGTCAAAAGGCATTTTCAGAAATGCTGTGGGGAAACTGAACAGTGTAAAAAGCCGAAATGTGAGGACCAGCTCCAATGACTTCTCCAGCAGCGACACATTCAACAACAGGTTCAACTAGGACTCTCAAACTGCATCCTGGGATATGTATGGCACATAGAAAACAAACTCTGCGACTCAATTTGACAACTTTTATGAAGACTTAGATGGACATCAAGAGAATAAGATTTACTTAAAACCTGTCTCCAAATATCATGTAGGCTAGAGAGGGATCAAGTACACTTCAGGGCAATGTGGTTCAGAGGATATAGAACATAAAATCTTTCTGAATCTCATTCCTCTCCTTCAACTTAAATCTTGCAGGTTTCACCAAAACAAAGGCAGCAGTCAGAACGTGTCACTTGAGCAAGGGCTTAACATTCAAGTAAGAACTGACAGAAGCAGGATTTAAAGCAAACTTAAACATGTCTTCTTTCTGTTACTGAGAAACGTTGGAGGTGACATGAAAGTATACCCATTAAACAAATACAAATATCAGCTATGGTGCTACCAACTTAAAAAAAAAAAAATCATGCCAATTCAGGTCAACAGCAACATTCAGTTGAAAAATTAGCTACATTCAAGTGGAAAACAACCACAAAGCAGAAGCACCATGGGGAGCTGAGTTAAGGGTCAAGTTTGCAGACAAAGCAGAACAATGGCCTTTGTGTGAAACCAAAACTACTTTTTCTGAGGCACAAAGCAGCACCGGCGATCCACATGTGAGCACACTAGCTCGTCTCAAAAGTAGTTTCCTCCGCCTCATTGACACTCAACCTGAAACTTGACTGAGGCGGGTAATGTGAAAATATTGATAAAAAGGCTTTTTCTATTGATGTTTATCAGGGCTGGGTATCTGTGCTCGATATCTTTAGGGCGTTGACCAAAAAAACCCAGTACCAAGTAGTCAAACGAAAGCGGCGTTCAAAGCTTTTAGTACCCAGATATAGAAAAAAAAAGACTGTTTGTATGGTTGTGCTTGCAGCCAATTACCTCGAGCATTCTTGGCCCACCACAGCAGCTACAACCCATACAGTCTGCGCAGGGGTGAAGTCAAGCACCTTGTATTTGACAGAGTTTGCAGGTCAACCTACTGAGATGCCACCTAAACATTTAAAGTATGGCTTTACTATATATCTGTGGCATCTGGTGGCTTTTTACTCAACTGAAAGCTTCCATTCACATGATGACGAACTATTGGTATCAGTATCACTTGTAGGGTACTGGCATTGTAGTTTTTATGGGATACCCAGCCCTACAGTCTATTGGAATCATGAACAGTCAATCCAACCTTGATGCTCATCTTTAATACTGCCCGAAGTTAAGCACCAACTACAGGCTGGTGCCAGTGAAGGAGAGGCGGCTACTAATGAGGAACCCACTTCAGAGTAAGATGATGTTTAGCAGGCGTGTATTAACAGAAAGGCAACGACATACAAGGCAACCTGTTTGTAACACCATTCTGGTAACTGAAAATACATGAACTGGTAATGAGGTGATGCCTTCAGTCCTCCAGCCTTTTGAGTTTGCATTCATCACCAATCAAAACATCCCCTGCTGTCAAATCCGCATGAGTGTCATGACAATGACCTACGTGCAGTGGGAGATGTGTCAGCTCCTGGGCCATACCGACAGATATCTTTTTTTCATTAGCCACATTCGTTCTGTTATCTACATCCAATCTGCAAAGAGATGGACCTGATATGGTGTGGTCCTCAATACCGTTATGGTTTAAGCTCTCAGGCACCAAAGTTGAATAAAATAAACATTGACTGGATCACCTTTAGGAATACAAATGGGTCATATGCTATATCATAGCAAGAAGTATTTCAGCATGTCAGAGTGTGGTCAGACATCAGTAAGTTGACTTTAATCATCACCTGGTTACAGCAGCAGCCCTTCAAACTCTACATGTTTAAAGTAACAACAGCCAGGGCAGGCAGGGCTGTATGACGAGATAATATGAGCCTGGGGCAGGCTGTTTCTTTTATAAACATTTTGTGGTGTGCTTTGAGTTTAAAGATCCCAATAGTATCTCAGTGCCCTCTCATTTGCTGCCACCCTGGTGTGAGTTTGTAAAGACTGGTGCTGCAACCACCCTCCAAACAGCCAATGACGTGAAACAAGCAGATAGTAAAAACACATTAACAAAAGTGAATGAGGAAGAATACAGCATTCTCTGCAGAGGCAGTGGATAAGAGTGTACCTAAGGAGTTTTTCCTACAGACTGATCTCAAGTCAGTTTGTAGGAAAGTTTCATTCCACTTGGTGGTAAAAATCCACACTGAGGCTCCGCTTAAAGCAAAAGTTTGACAGTTTGATGGGAAAATCTAGACCGCTCTCTTATCTGTCCATTAAATATGAAGCTGGGTTAGCTTAGCTTAGCACAGACTGGAAACAAAAGTCAACAGCTAGCCTGGCTCTGACCAACTGTTACAAACGAATAAACATGTCACCAAACGGGGACCATTTCTTTACCAGGTACAGAAACTTACTGCAGTCTCTGTGGATGCCTGGCAACTGCCCAGAGCCAAAAATAACCCAACATGTAACCCCCTGTTTAACAGTAAACTGAAATTTTTACACTTAGATTTTTATTCTAATTAAACAAATGTGGCATTACGTGTTAATTCGGAAGTTTTAGAGGTTCGAGATTTTGCTAACGTTAAGCTAACTGTCTGCATGCTGCGGCCTGATATTTGATGGACAGATTCAGCTGACTTCCCAAAAAGTCGAACTTCCGCTTTAAAAAAAAATCACAGTTGAAAACATGCTGAAGATAGTTTAGGGCAGTGACTGTGTTTGTACCCTGCTACTCAAAAGAGCTGCATTAGTTTTACTGATTCTTGATTTTCGCTTTAAGGGCCTCTGGGTTGAAGCGGAACGGTCCAATCAGCATCTCAGGCACAACTCCTTCCACTGCTCTGAATCGCACGTCTGGTTTAACCGACTGCCAGAGGCCAACTCCGCTCTGTGATTGGCCACCTGCACTTAAAATATCTTTGGTGAAAGTCACCTCCTGGCATTCCCTGACTTCCTTGTCGCCTAGCAACAACATAACACAACATGCTAATGTCGTCAGCGTGGTAATGCCCGGCGTAACTCGAAATAGTATACAAAATAAAAATATTCTTTTAAATAGGTATATATATAAACATTGCATTAAAAATAGAACCGTATCAAAACACCATTATGAGTTCACAGTCTGTCCCTTAGCCTCCAAGCGTGAACGCTCTGATCAACCTCTCCGGTCCTCCACTTTACCAGACCTCCACCCAGCTCGCCTCCACGTCCAGAGTTCATAGGTGAAGTCTTGCTGTGCCGAGCCTTTACTGCGACTTGAGCCCCAGACTGTTGGAGGACAGGGGGTAGGAGTAGGCTTTGCCAAGCACAATGCGGTCTCGCAGCAGTTTAAAAAGGACATAGTAGTTGCAGAAGAGAATAAGGCCCAGAGACAAAGTGTGGTTCCAGCGCTCGGAGCGCAGCAGAGAGTATAACTGGTACAAAACCACACTGGACTCGATCCAGATCAGCAGGTTCAGGATCCGCAATGGCTTGTGGAACAGGAACTGGAAGACCAACAGACAGGAAGAGAAGATTAGAGAATAAATGACAGTGTGTATAGAGGGCAAAAGATAGAAATATGTAATGCGCAGGGACACACTGTACACTTGCAAACCATTATATAATACAGAGTTAGACGGGCAGACCAGACCTGTAACTTGTCTGTGTGAAACAGACTGTTTTGGAAGAGCAGACAGACGGGCAGAGCTTCAAAATTACTCTAATCAGAGTCACTGATGCACAGATGGTTGTTGTGTAAATTAAAAAGAAACTTTAATACTAGTCTAGAAATATATATATATTATCTTAATGACAACTGAGTCTGTGGCAAACTGCCCTGCCACATCAGATCTGTCCCCTCTGCTGAGTCGTTCAAAGCACAGCTCGAGGCCCACCTTTATTCTTTGGCTTTTGAATGTACTTGAATTGCCAACAATAATTAGCCTCTCAAAATAACTGTTTACTTGTCTTTGCACTGATGATAGTCAAGGACTGAAACATTTGCTGCTGTTTTTATTCACTTTTTTATTATTATTATTATTATTATTATTTCCACTTTGAGCACTTTTGTCCTAAATAAACTGACATTTTTTTAATTGATCTCAGCCTGTGAACCTTTTTGTGGCTGTCCAGCCCAGTTGCATTAGTGTGCGGGATTGGTTGACAGCACCCCTAAGACTTTGTTTTTGCACTTCCCATCAATTTTATTTTGGTTTCTCCTTGGTATATGCATGGCTTTGTTGTCTGCTCTGTTGACCTGTTTGTTTGGTTTTTTTTTTGGTGAATATATGGTGAAGCACTTCGGTTAAATGTGCTATAGAAATAAATCTGACTTGACTTCAGGAACACCACGAGATGCAGCTAAAAGCCCCGGTATGCAGACCTTGTTTTAAGATTTTCTTTATCAAAAAAACTATCTTTGTGGCATTTTAAGCCAAGTATAGACACAAGAAAGATGAAAGATGACAGGAAACATGAGACAGAGAGGGACAGAGAATTAGAGACAGAGAGAGAGGAGATAACTGGACTCAAATTGTCTGCATGGTGTCATTATATTCACATTCATATTCGGTTTACATTTCTGCTGACGTTAGCAGGAGTGATCTTTATTCCAGGTGAGGTGGTGCATTTTACATTTTCATAGGTTGCAGGGAGCCAATTCTACAGCTGTGTAGTTTGTTGTATTATACTTTAACGGTTTCCTTAATCAACTCCTTGTTGAGCCTTATTCAGCCAATCATTGTGAATTTTGCACCACTTTGCATTTTTTTTCCAGATCCCTGCAAATTTACAGCAAATTTGACGATTTAAAAAAAAAAATCTAATTTCATTCAATCTAATAGAGCTGTGCGCAGCGGATTAGTTATGAGACTACTGCTGGCTTCGTCACACACACAGTGACAAGGCTATTAAATAGCATCATACTGCTAATGTTACCTAACACAGTGGTTCCCAACTGGGGGGTCCTGGTCCAAAAGTGGACCCCAGGTCCATTCTGAATGGACCGCATGTGACGTGCATAAAACACACTTTATTTCGAAGTGCAGTGAATTTCCAGTGCAGAGCTTTTACTTTTAAGTGCTGTTTCCTACTGTAGAGTGAGTGACTAACAGACAGCTACATAACAAAAGACAGAAAACCAGCCCAATGACATGGCCAAACACAAGTATGACGCTGAATACACTGAACTATATGGACCTTGAACAAACAACCATGGAGAAATCTGCACCCTGTGGCTGAAGCAGTTGAGAAACACTGACCTAACGGTTACTGACGTGTTTTATGACAAAGTTCTGCCTGTTGGTGTGAGTTCGTTGGGACCATTGAATGGCCTTTATCAGACGTTAGACACTGCTAACCAGGCAGAGAGTGCAAGAGGAGACCGGCTCATGGAGATCTACATTCATAAATAGATTATAATTCTGTGTGGATCACTAAATGCTCATAATAATAACAGGCTCTTTCTGTCATTTTCACTTGCCCCTGCCATTTCATTGTAAAAAATGCCTACCAACATAGCAACGTGCATCACAATTTTTTCAGAGAAGCTGCTATAAAATCACTATAGGCCGCCACAATCCCAAAAAGAGCCTGCAAAATCCTGGAGGGACTGCTTATAATTTCATCCACCCTCATCTCAGTGTCTCAATTTACAGGTCACATCCACTGTTACGATGATATAAAGGACATACTCACATAAAACCTTGCATGGGAAACATCAGAGGGCAGAGCGACATTATAGGGTCCGACTGCCTTATACAGAGAACGACTGTGTCGTACCAACACCCCCTGAGGCCAAATGGTACTTTCTGACCACCTGCAAAATACAATAACACCACAGTTACACACAAACCCCTAACAGAGTCATATTTAAACCTGTGTGTGTGTACTGATGTGTGCACAAAGCACCACTCACACATGCTGAGGTGCGTTGCTGTACGAGCCGTGCTCCAGTTTTTGCCAGCGGCCCAGGTGAGCTGCCGAGCGATGAAGCAGGTCACAGTAGCTGGGGGGCAGCAGCTGACTCATCAGCATGACAAACGCATTGATCCACACCATAATCAGGTGTTCACATGACCAGCGCATGTCATAGTACTGGGTGCTCTGTTGGAGTAAAGTGAAAGGAAAGGTTAATTTACCTTAAAATAAACACGAAACCAGGCAACGAGAAGGGAAATAAAGTGATGGAAGAGATGGAGGCATGAAAACTGAGTGGAAAAAACATGCGTGAATAAAAAAATGCAAATTAAATGACAGATACCAACCTTAACGAAGCAGAGCGGCAGGAAGGCTACGTAGTAAGCACTGAACAGTGAGTTGAACAGCACTTCTTTTATGCGCCGGTTGAAGTCACTCTTCAGCTCCTCCACCTCTGTTCGAATCAACTCCGGTGTGTGTGAGTGTGTGTGTGGTGGGCAGGTGTGCGTAGGCATGTGCGGAGGGCTGGAAAACTGCTCTCTGAGGTTCTCTCGCAACAGGAAGAGGAAGTCACGTGGCCGAAAGAACGGGGTTTCTGCGAGGTCGGTCTGCTGGTGGTCGGCGGGGTAATCGCAGTCGGCTGGTGCCGTTTGGCTTTTCCCTCCCTCCTGATGGAAACAGCAAAGCGGGACGTACACGCCAAATCTGACATGGAAGGAGGGCGGTGAGCGAGCGAGGACAGAAGAGCAGAGCAGAAAGTTTTAGTTTCAAATGATGGCAGAATGAAGAAGAAGATGTCTGATGTGAAAACATCATGCATATTTAAAATGAGACACATTAAGGGAAGGGTGTGTCAGCTTCCACTTCCATTAGCATTAACACCCACATAAAACAAAAACAGCAACATGCTCACTTTAACAGCAACTCTGCATTACTGAGAATGACCTGAACTATTTGTTTGGGGAAAAGGGTAGATGTGTGGTGGCCTGAAGGTAAAAACCTCATTAGTTTTATGTTTTTCTTTCATGCTGACAAGATTTCCACATTTTTGCACCACAACAACGACGTCTCATTTTGTGTTTGAAGCAATGTTTTACATCGATTCATTTCTTGACCTTTTTCTTGCATACACAGAATCAAAACAAAAAAAAAAAAAAATCACATTAAAATTTTTTAGGAGGCTTTCATGTCAGGGACCCGAGCCTGGATCAGAGTACATTTAACCCCAAAATCCAGTTCATTTGATCAGTGTGAACACTGTTTACCTTACCCAAGGACTGAACCTGATTTGTACTCGAGTATGGTTCATGAGTACTCTGGTACAGTACACATCAGGTGTGAACAACGGTCATTGCATCCCCAAGTGAGACCAATCAGAACAGATATTAAAAAGGTATAAACACTGTCAACGTGCACATGCACATCCTGCCCTTTGGAGAGTGGGGGTCAGGGGCATCAGAGACTTACGGGTATCCCAGGAAGAGGAGGTTGAGTACAGAGTGGTTCTTGCAGAGGTTGACCAGCGTCCAGCAGAGCACCCAGCCGCACATGGTCAGCAGGCTGAGCCGAGCTGCGATCAGAACCACGTAACGGAGCAGAGATCCGCCGCTGCTCTGAGACACCTGGACGAGACAGAATCGCTCACAGTTACCAGATGGACATCAGTGGGGATTGATTCCTACAGGGGCTCTGTGTGCTAAAATGTGTTTGCTAATTGCATGTACAGGTCTGAGGGTTTACCTCTGAAACTATCGTCCAAACAAGCCTCCTGGCCAACATGACTGTGATGAAGATCGCCAGGTGGTAGTCCATTAGATGAAAGTTCTGTTGAGAAAGAGAAGATAAAGACACTATCATTAGTTTTCCATGGAGACATTTTTAACTGTACATGTCAAATTAGACCTGAACCTAGCCAATAAAAAAATCACGATTGTCTAAACTGAGCTATATAGAGCTGGATTTGATCTTTTGTTTTACCTCAGCGGTCACTCAGGTGTTTTTACTCGTGAAGCTTTTCATGCACAGCACTGCAACGAGTCCAGCCGTCATCATCTCTCTAACTCTCTGCTGTCTGTCTGTCTCTCCACACCGTGTGTGTGTGTGTAAGAGCAAGGGCTGAGCCACACCATAAACGACAGCATAATGCAGTATGAGACTGTTTACTTATGTTATTTACCTAAATTATGAGCGCTTGTTTCATTTCAGCTCAGTGTGACAGTCTCTTGTGTTTTGCTTCTAATCTGTGGTACATGGTGATTCACCACAGACACTCACTATGCAACTGCAAATGCAACAAAAGCTCCGCAAGTAAATGGGCAACAAGTGTAATTTATTCATGTAATCTGCACAAAAGATGTACAGACGATGAAACTGAAAAACTAAATGTAATTCAGTTCATTTAGGTAACTGAGGCAAAGGCTGCATTAAGGCAACAAATGCTGGCAAATACTCTCTTTAAGGGACGGAGAGGTTTGTTATTTTATATTTTATTGTTTTGTTAAAAAAAGATTTAAAAAAAATAAGGATCTGATCGGGACTCCGTCTCAGCAGATACTCAACACTGAATGACTCAGACCGGGATTGGGGACAAAGACACTCAACTGGGACATCCCTAGTTCCTGAATTATGGTGTTGCATAATGGCCAGAAAAGTGTTTGTAATGTTTTTGCAGAATATTATGATGTCACAGTGAAGTCGACCTTTGACCTATTGGATATAAAAGGTCATCACCACCAATTTATCCTTTTTTTGTCAAAAATAGCAGATTATTCTTAAGTCATGGCCAAAAATATGTTTTGTGAGGTCACAGTGACCTTTGACCTCTACCAACTAAAATCTTATCATTTCATCCTTGAGTCCAAGTGGGTGTTTGTGTCAAATTTAAATATATTCCTGTGACATCGTGTATTCAAATAGTATGGACGGACAGACAGGTAGATGACCTGAAAACACAACGCCTCTGCCCAAGGCTGGTGGCCGCCAGTGTGGAGGCATAGAAAGAAAAAATTGCTTATACTGGAATTTTTATAATCCAGTTTCATTTCTTAATATTTTAAATACTAATCAATTCACATTTTTAAAACATTACTGTTTTAGATATCAAAGGTTCAGTGTGGGAATCAAGTTCGTTTTTCCACTTATACACTTAGAAAGAAAAAAGTTATGATTTCAATTTGCCAGAAACATTAGAGCTGATGGTGTGATGGTGTGTGTTTGGTGTGTGTGTGTGAGTTCTTACAAGAGAGGTAGAGGCAGCAGGATGACTGTACGGATACCACCACACTGTCCTGTAGATGTTTATGTACTGGACAAACAAGGCCACCAGCAAATAGAGAAAGAGCAGGAACTCAAACAGCAGGCTGCTGTCCAACGGCAGCTCGGGGATCCTCGAGTGGCGGACCGGCTCCGGGGTGATGAGGGCCGAGAGAGGGGGCGCAGACAGACCCACCGAGTTACTGCTCCTGAGAGAAGACACAGAAAACATAAATAGTAAAAAAAAAAATGTGATGCAGAATGTTTGCGTCACATCTCACCTACTCCATCTACCTACTTCACGAATGTTGCCCGTAGCGGCCAATCCCCACTGAGAGCCTTTTAGAAGTGTTTTTGATGTCTGTCACTCGCGCGTCTTGCGTAACACATACGCTCACATTTTACTTAATGTTTCAATGCATATTAACTTTGTGCACTGACCATCTCGCGGACATTCCCCGCATTTTTTACCCTTCAATTCTATTATTGTAGCATTTAGTGAGGCTTAATCTGCATACACAGCTGTTTAATCACACAAATATCCCGCTGTATATATGTTTTAAATTTATTGAGTGTACATACACTGATTGATCAGCTCCCAGTCTGTCCGTGAGCTTGCCTGTTTCACAACAGGCCAATTCCCCTCACTCTCTACGGTGGGCGGGAAAATACAATAAATGAATCAATAGATTTCTTCCCATAGAGGCGACATGAAAATTATTTTGGTTCAATATATTTCTGGAGTGAATCAGAAGGTGAAGGCAGGTTAGTGCTGTTCACTTTCTTGAAGCTACTGACAGACAGACAGCTGAGACATTTACGGAAGACGGAGTCAGGGTGGTTTGGATAACACGAAGCTTAGCGCCACTCACGTCGTGCTAACGTCTCGCCTCCAATGGGGATTCCCAGTAAGAGCACAAGAAGTACCAACAAGGCTCGGGATGAATCTCTTTTCAAATAACGGTGATAAATACATCCTGTACTCTCACCTGTTCCTGAGGCCTGTACCATTGCCGAGGTTGCCTCCAACCAGAGTCTGCAGGGACGGCAGAGCAGAGCGACTTAGCTGCTGTCTGCTGGGCCCCCTGCGACCCCCTGGCATGGTCGCCAGTTACGGTGGCAACCGCGGACGCCGCCCACCAACCAACAGCCGCCGGGACTCCTCCCCTTCTCCTCAATGAGCCACCATGTACAGCCAGGCCACTGCAGAGGGAAACAAACCAGATGAGATCGAGTCAGAATGAGGAAAGTAAACAGATACAAGTGTGGTCAAGAGTTTTAAAAAAGTAAAAACCAACAACCTGAGGCGTAATCAACATCACTACTGCTCCCTGGAGTCAAATCAAGTATAGTTAGAGTATAGCTCTGTCCCAGGGTGTTTGCTTTACCTTACACATGTGATAAGTAAACAGTAGTGCAGTTAATCAGGGGAGGATTATTAGAGACCGGCGCAGATGCTCCAGTTTTTCAATAAGCTGAATTTTTTACCATCTCCATCAAGTTTATTTGCCATTTAACGTTATTACAAATTGGATATTGTCATTAGCAATCTGAGAGGGGAAATTAGTCATGACTGTCAACAATCATCTTTAAAAACATATGTTTGACTGTTCTATACAAGGAGTGTGATTCACTGTAGTTTTTTAAAGACTTGTAATGTCCCTGGTACATACAACAACACTAACATACTGGGTGTCAGGTAAGAGATCTGCCTGAAACACCAAATATATTCTATCATCACTGTTGTTAATGAGTAAATAAGAGCCAAAAAAAGATGTCAATGATGCCAAACCATCAGCCTGTTTGGCACTGCTTTGATCAGCCTCTATCGAACCTACTTTAGGTGAAAGAAGTGACATGTCATCGTGACATAAACTATGTCAGCGGCACACTTCAACCCTCACAAACCTGCCAAGGTTTTCCCCAGGAAATTATTCAGCGGAGGCAGTGAGCCGCTCATATCCTGACACATTTTGTTTTATGATAAGTTTACTTTAAAGATGAGATCCTGAAAACACACATGCACTAATTAAATACATGGCATCTGCTGCATGAAATAGCCTCAGCTCTTTTCTAAGATTATTTTTTGGGGCATTTTTGCTTTTAATGAACAGTTGACAGTGAGATGGCGGATAGGAAAAAGGGGGAGCATGAGAAAGTAGGGTATGACATGCAAGACGGGCAACATTGTGGTTATGTGGCACGCAGTGTAACCACTAAGCTACAAAGGCTCTCTGAGTTTTCAGAAAGTTTTATTTCTTTATTTCAATGCTTTAAAAGTGGATTACTTTGTGACTTTAGCAGAGGCTGTCAATATTTTAACACACAGGTGCCTACAGGTACCAGACACTTATATTCAATGATTTTAAGACCTTTTCAAAATAATTTTAAACCAAATTTAAGAGTGATTTTTGGGCAAATCATCTTTATCTTATTTAAGCATTGCAAAAGGTAAGTAGTACATGTGTGGTTCAGTGCAGAGATGGGTTTTATGTAAGACTATAGAAGGTTTAGAGATCTGTAGCATCAGAAATGTGGACTTTCAAGCAGAAAAGCTTGACTTAGTTTGATAAAAAAGAAAGTAAAAGATGGGCAAATGAAATTAAATTAAATGTGTGTTGCGTATAATACCTTGGAAATTCAAATTTAAGACTATTTAAGGAGTTTTAAGACCTAATATTGAATAGCAATTACAAATACTTGATGGTTTTCTTGGCCATCACTGACAGTAAACTGAATTTATTTGGGTTTTGAAGTGTTGATTGCTGACATGGTTTTAATGTGGTTTGATGTTTAAAGGTCCTTTTTAGGGTTTGGTTTGTTGTGCTGTTTAACTGTTCTGCATTACCCTGACAGGTGTTTTTTGACATTTAGCCTTGCATTGTTACAAATGGGGTGGACAAAATAATAGACACACCTCTCAGTTTAAGTAATACAGCCTCTAAAGTTGTATCAACTCCTCTCTGAAACAGTTTAAACATGAACTAAACATTGTAACATTCATGACAGTACGGTTCGCTGCAGGACTGGTGAATTTGTCTGCATTAGTTTAACTAGGTTTACTTAATAAACTGACTCAGAGTACGTTGGTATTCCTCCCCACAGGTTTCATTTCATCGAAACAGCTCCACTTTTCACCACTGCTACCAGATCAGTAAAGCCATCCCAAAGTCTTTCTGGTGGCAACACAGAGCCGTCATTACCTAGTAAGTATCAGAACTGTCTATATGCAGCCTGTCTGCTTTAAACTAATGTTGGGTAACTATCTCCTGGAGGTGTTTGCAGAGTCAGTGACAAAGTCTGTGTGTGTGTCTACACGAAATGACTGATGAGGAGTAGTCATTCGATTGCTATCATTTCTTTTGAGGCATTTTCATCAGTGCTAGAGCTGTCAGTAGACACTTTAGACAAAATAATTTCACTGTGCTCACTGCAACTGTCAAATATTGAAACGGACACCCTGCCAGCCAAAACACTACCTGAAGAAGACACCTGAACCTCGTCTCAGCTCCCAGCTACAGGTACAGATGTATCACTGCTTGTATAATTCATAAACACTGCTAATAATAGACTTTTTCACAGCCCGCATTTTAACTCATAGCAGGTGTAACCAATGACAATAATATTAATGATGCTCGTCTCAACCGAGGTATGCCTGTGAGCCAGCATGCACAATACTGTTGACACGCCAAACTGGAATGCAGCCATTAATTATGTTGTTATATTGATTACACCTGAACGTCTCCTGCTACGACATGTCAAACCAGCTGTTCAGACAAAGACCACTGAGTTCTTGTTTTGGCTACGTTCACAACACAAGCAAATTTGACGCAAATCTGATTTTTGCTCTTGTGTAACACAGATCTGATTTTTTTTTGTGGTCCTACATCCGATACATATCCAGTCACTGGTCACGCGACCCCTGTGAGAACGTGTGTTTTGCTCATACATTCACGTTTTTTCTACGTCATACTTCCCTGCACAAGAGCAGGTCACTCCACATGCAGTGTCAGAGCAGCCTATTGAAACTACAGAGGGTCACCGCAGCCGTAGGGCTGCCACGGTTGCCAGCCAACGGAGCCCAACTGCCACACAATCACCTAAATTTTAAGTCCTGCCGTGACAGCGTTGTCACAGACAGAGATATTGCGATGTAGCCCTGAACATCCTAAGGTTGTGGAGGAACAGCTCCTCTGTGAGACCCTCTACATCGCTGTGCCACCACTCCTGACTCCTCTTCCGGCCGCACCCACACCTCTAGTTACCTAGTGGACTGAAATCCCTTTTGTATGACAGCCTGTCATCCTGATAACAAACACTTATAGCTCCAGAAATACCTTACACATTCTCCAAAACAGCCGCACATGGATAATTATTACACTGAAACACGTCATGGGACCTTCGTACTATGCCAAAGGCTTAACCCACCGTACTCTGCCCCATGTTACCCTGATGTTCTTACCCCAACCATTTCCAATCTCATAGTGGAGAGGTCCGATGATGTCATTCTGCATAATAATTAGCCATGTGCTCCTATTTGGGAGAGTGTCATGGAGAAATGGCCCTTCGGACCCATGGGCAGTCACCTCCCACCTGATGAAGCTTGCCTTAATGCCTGTTTCATGAGTAAGACACTGTTATTGCTGTTCCACCCTGCATGTGTGTGATGTTATTGGTTACATGTAAGGCATTTCAGGGAAGATATGACGGATATGGGACGCTTCAAACATGGATGTGATCTGGGGAAATGATCAGAACTGAACATCAAGCCCTGTATTATTAGCGTAGCCTCTGTGTCACTCTCAAAGCATTTTCATTTCTCATAAACATGTAAAATCAAATACTCCGGATGTGGAAGGTTATGAATAATTTATTGAAAAGATCAAGTGCTTTGTGATTTTTCTTCTTCTCTCAGCACTTTTACAGTCATGTGTTGTTTACAAGGTCAATGTAGGTTAATTTATTTGTTTGTTATTGGCAAATTGATGTAATTGCACAGTGACATGTTTTAAAGCTCCAATCTTAGACGGCTGTAACTAAAGGATACTATCATCATCAATTAATCTGCTGACTTTTTTCTTGTTCGTCAATGAACTGTTTTATCTCTAAAATGTTTAGAAATAGTTCAAATGTCCATTACAGCCCAACATGACTTGTTTAAATTACTTGTTTTATCTGAGCAAACGTCTAAAACATACATAAATATTCAGTTTACTTTAATATGTGACAAAGAAAAGCAAACAATTCTCACACCATCAACAAAAATTTAGATTTTCTAGCAGATGACTTACTGATTAATCTAAAAGAGCGCAAATACATCAGAAATTTATTTTGGATATATGGTCGCTCTCCAGACTTTTAATCTTTGGCTACAAAAGTGAAATCAAGTGCTCAACTGACATAAAAATAATTGGAAATGATCTTTGTTAACGATACATTTGGCAAAAATGACCAACAATTTCTAGTTCATGCTTCATAGATCTGAGTACATGCATGTGTTCATTATCTTATTTGTCATTAAACCGGATTTTTATGGCTTTTGGACATCTGTTTTGCCAAAACAGACAATTCAAAGATGTCACCTGGACTGGAAATTATGACTGACATTTAACAGAGAAAATAACAAATCAATTTCCAGAAAATAAATGTCAGATTGATCTGTAATGAAACTATTTACAAAGTAAATTAATGGATTTCAATCGGACACAGTGTAGCTGTAACTAAACTCCATTTACATAGTGTATAATTTATCTTATCATCACTGCTCAGTGGGTTTTAAAAAAACAGAAGAAGGTAGTAACGCCCCACTTCATCAGCCAGTGATAGGCTCCTAAAAGGAAACACAAACCAGAGCCAGATAACATCCAACCTCCGTGTGTGTCAACATTTCCTTTACGCTGATACGAACCATGATGGAGATGATACTGTGGCAAACTCTGGGGTTGGTGTATGGCTCCGACATTAAACAATATTAAAGCTGAATCTTCAACAGGAAACAGCCGTTGACACACAGACACACGTGCTCGCAAGGGACCAAAAATTACGGTTGAGAGTCAAAAGTGAAAACAGGAACTGTGAACTAGAGAAATTGACTCGAGTGAAGGGATTGCAGGGACGGTGTTTTGCCATTTTGTGGAAGTGCAACACGTTTCTAGTTTTCCCCTAAACACAAGTCCTTTAAATAAAGAGCTGAAAAGGAGTGGCGGACGTACATTTACTCGCTTACTATGCTTACGTGCAAATTCAAGGTACTTTTACTTGAGTATTTCCATTTTATGCTACTCTATTCTTCTACTCCACCACATATCAGAGGTAAATCCTGTACTTCTGACTGCACTACATTCGTCGGACAGCTTTAGTTACTTTCCAGATTACTATTTCTCCTCCCCTTCCTGTCAAGTGAAAACCATGTAGCTCCAGGTGTGCTGGTGTCAAACGTTTGAGAAAAACTGTGTTGAGAAAACTCTGCCACTTCTTCAGCTTGGGTTGCAGCAATACTGGGTACTTTTGCTCGTGCTTTCCTCGACTGCCTGAGAAGACTTTTTACACCTATGTCCATTAATAAAAAAGCTGTGCATTTCAATTATAAACCAACAACACCCTCTGTTTTCAATCCTTTAAGAGTCGTGGGAACTATTAATATAAATTGTGCAATACAGTTATATTATCTGAGACGGTTATTATATTATATAAATCTCAAACTGCTGCAAACCTGTCTTTGGCTAAATACACTCTTTAGAGAAATGCATAATCACAAAGCTGACACCATTTTTACAGATGAGTGGTTCTCACAGGACAACAATGCCACAAACATGTCATGATCTTACAGAATATGATGCATTGCTGGAGATTAAACTATCCAACACTACATAAAGGAGTTAAATTATGAAGGATCTTATACATCTACAGTAGTTAGATGAATCCTTAAACATCATATGTAACAGTGAAACACTGACAGGAAGCGTTTTTTTCGCAATAAGTACTTTTACTTTTGATACTGTACTTTTACTTAAGTAGAGGTTTTGACTGCAGAACTTGCAGGGAGTTTTTTTTACAGTGTGGTAGTGTGACTAGTTGATCCACCGTTTTTTAAAAACCAACGAGGAAGAGAGAGAAGTGTTTTTAAAAATTAATAAGATGCTGAGTTGAAGTGTTTACAGTGTTGGCTTGTCTTTGGAGCACACTTTGTTAGGAAAGTTTTTTTGTGTGTGCAGAGACTTGCTAAGACATGCACTGAAGCTGCCTGTCTGAACCATGACACCAGGCAGCAGCAGCAGCAGCAGCGTTGTCATTTTGTACACGGCGGAAACTTGTGAGCACACTTTGACAAAGACGTTAAGATACATATACGGAGATGTTAGCTTGTAGCTAGCGGCTAGCCTGGAGATTTAAAGCTAAGATAGTTCTTTAAAAAAAAAACCCCAACCAGCAGCTCCGTTACTCACACGACACACGGGGGGGTGAAGTGAGCGAGGATGCATCAGTCAGTTGTGTGGCTACGAGTCCAGACAGCACCGAGCATTTCTCCGCCGTCCAGCTTCAATATCCGCGGCTGCACTGCTGTGTCGACGAGCTAAGACGGCACCGGCGATGCTGGGGGGTCGCTTCCTTCCCGGGTGGACACATAAAAACGGCTTGAAAAGTTAGCCCCCGGGTTTCAGGAGCAACAGTGTAAATGCGTTGCACAGACACCGACGTGGCAAACCCGCACCTCCTCTCCGTGCGACGTCATCAGAGCGCGACTCAAACAGAACTCCACTGCACAGTCGCAGTTGGACCAAACGAACGGCTGGTCTGGAGTCAGCACTGTTGTCATGCTCTCAACTTTTATTCATACTTTTACTATTTATTAATCACTTTTATTAATGGTTTTTTTTTAACTATCAGGCTTCTAATTAACCAAATTACCGAAGTAAATCTTCTTTTTACCAAAGTACTGCAGCATTAGAAGCTTTAAATTACACATAATTTTACTCCCATCAGAACAAAACATACGTTTGTCAGTTTATTATTTTTATTTATTAGATAAAGAAAATAAATATGAAATGTTTCATGGATGTCACTCAGTACTTTGAGAGGTACATTGGGATTAATAAAAATTAAGTTGATTATATTAGACTGCTTTAGTTGTAGGTAGGTGTACCTAATAAACTGGCAACTGATGTGTTTACTGCAGTGTACACATAATTTACTCCATTTTCCACTCATATTAGGAACAACTCATTATACACAAAGTTGCCATTTTATTAGGTAGGCCTTCATCTACCTAAACCTGATGTAGTCCTATATAATTAAATATTAAATAAATGTTACTTTTAATATTTTAACTAGCAGATTAACCAAATGACCAAGGTAATTCTTGTTTTTACCAAAGTACTGCAGTTTTAGAAGCTTTTAATTACACATAATTTTACTCCTATATGGACCACACATACAGTTGGAAATTTATAAGATAAAGAAAATAAATGTGGAATGTTTTATGGATTCCACTCATTAAATCTGCCTTCTCTAGTACTTTTAAGAATTATGTGCAAAGGATGCATGTGTATATATTTGAGCGACTAAATCAGATTTCCAGGGGGTATTCTCATCACCTAATATAGCTGTTTGCACACTCTGTTGCATATTTGTGAACATTTACTAATGCAGTCTAATATAATTTAATATTAAATACATTTGACTTATATATTTTACCTGCAGTGTTGGAAGCTTTTAATTCCATATACTTTTACTCCTATCATGCACAACACATACAGTTGGAAATTTATTAGATAAAGAAAATAAATGTGAAATGTTTTATGGATTTAACTCTACACCCCCGCCCCCACAGGTCCTTACATGATGCCTTTGTGTTAAGCTACACATGAGGTCATTTTTCATGGGTGGTCCGGGTATTCTCATCACCTAATATCACTGTTTGCACACTTTGCGTGGCATATTTGTGAACATTTACTTAAACTAATGCAGTCTAATTTAATTCAATATCAATGGGTTTGTTAATGTGTTTTAACCAGCTGATTTCTAATTAACCAAATGACCAATGTAGCTCCATTTTTTTCAAAGTTATGTATTGTACACATCATTTACTCCACTTTCTACTCATGCAGGCCTACATCTACCTAAACCTAATGTGGTCTAAATATTAAATACTTTTGACTTCATATATTTTAACTAGCGAATTTCTGTTTAACCAAATTACCATTGTAATTCTTCTTTTCACCAACTGCAGTACTGGAAGCTTTTAAATACACATACCAGTATTCTACTATTATATACTCTTATAAGGAAAAACATTATACCCTGCCAGTTTATTAGGTACACACGGAGGTGAGTCTACATTTAGGCTTCCTCAAGCACTGTAGGCCTACTTAATTAGGCTACACATTTTAAGGTACTTGTACTTTACTTATGCTACTTTATACTTCTACTCCACTACATTTCAGAGGTAAATATTGTACATTTTACACCACACATACTGTTGGCTACCTACGTGTCAAAGTGTCAGGTTACTTATGTCACTCAGGCCTGAGGGATATAGGTTTGGTCATATGTTGACAGGGGCCTCAGCCAAAGCACATATTTAGCACCTGAGTTGCTTTTTAAAAGTTAAATGGAATATTTAGGAAAGAAAAAAATATCATAATCAATTAAGGCTAGCTGTTGTCGAGAAAACTGCGAGTGGCGACATAAACCGGAGAAATGTTGCTCTTACTGAGGTTTCTACCATTTTTCCCCACGTTAAAGGTTTTTTTGGGGGAGTTTTTCCTTATCTCTGTTAGGGTCCACGTACAGAGGGATGTCCTGTGTTGTGAAGCCCTCCGAGGCGAATTGTAATTTGTGATACTAGGCGTTATAAATAAAATTGACTTGAAATAAAGCCTTCAATTTCTTGGCTCAAAGTCTCAGAAAATATATTGTGCTGCATGTGCAGTGATGACATTTTCTATACTGTAAACTTCACATGCAACTTCTGAGCCAACACAGACTATTTGTGTTTGGAAAACTTCAAAAACTATCAATTACGTCAAAATTAAATGGAAATTAGAACAATAAACTGCTCTGTTGTACCCAAAACGTAAAAGGTTTATTTTCAATATAATTAATAAACACAAACTGACTGTACAGTGTAAAATACAAAGAAATAAAAATCCTTAAAAAAACATAAATGGCAAAGTCATCAACTTCGGTTCCACGTGTAAGTGTTTTTTTTTTTTCATTCAGTGTGCATTTCTAAATATACCAGGGTACATGCGAAAGGGTTGAAAAGAAACAAGACAAGTTAACAGAGCTGTACATTAGAGAAAAAAGTAACAGTGTATAAGATCCTCAGATTGTGCTGACAACCATAATATAAAAATTAAAACAAGTTTTGGGCATTATTGCTATTAATTAATTTTGTACATCAGCAACACCTTGTAAATTTATTTACACACTGTTTACAGTTATTTATAAGCACTAAGTGTTCATGATATTGGCGCACACCTTTAAAATCATTAGTAAAAACAAATGTACTACAGTAACTTCAAGACATCCAGGAGATATCAGTTAACTATTTACAAAAAAATAACAAAAAGCTAAAAGCTAATTCTAACATTCACAAGAGTCTTTTCATATTTATGTGGGTCTAACAATAGTAATTCATATATTTACCGGCCCTGAGAGTTATTTCTTCTGCACTGAACGTTTATGGCTTGATCAATTATAAGAATTAACTATGTTACTGTCAAACAAATAAAGTTTTAAGAAGAGAAACATTCTTTAAATCAACATTTAAGAATAATCTAACAGGAGACTTTTAGTCTGAGTCAACTCAGAAGATTGTTATTACAATGATGAACCAGCAGAGGGGGGTAAATCTCAAAAACATCTGTTCAGCAGAAGACTTGCATAGTTTTCTTACATCAGTATCTAAAAAAACGAACTACTTTTAGGCTACCAGATAGGTTTCATTATGGACATCAAACATTTGCTTTACCACCTGCACACTTTAAAGATTATGCCAAAATTTTACGAATCCTTCTCCGAGCTTTTCACTTATCAAAAAGGTGCTAACACAGTTGGCTCATGATTCATTTCAATACATAAAACGTTGGCATATTAAAGTTTACCAGTAGCCAGACAACAAGGCTCCCAGTTCTAGTGAGGCGTGCACGTTCTTTGAAACAGGTTCAGGAGGGCTCAGATGACGACACTGGTGCCACTGCGAGGCTGGAGAGACATACTAACTTTAGTGACTCAGGCTTTTTAAATAATGACTTTATGTTTGATTATTTGTGCGTTTGTCCTGATGTAAGTGCATCAGTGTGTGGCAACTAAAGAAGCGTGTGTCTTACAGAGTAGCGTTCATTCCTCCGTCCTCCTGGTTTCTTTCCAGGCTCGTACTCGGTGTAACTGGGAGGTTTGTCAACCCAGCCTCCACCTCCTCTCCTCCCTCCTCCTCCTCTCCTGCTGCCCTCATCATCCGAGCTCCAAGATCCTCGCACAGTGCGCCGTGATGCTGGAGGGGAGTAGTTTCCTCTGGACCTGCTGTCAAACAGGTCATCCCTGGAGCGAGAGCGGGGGCGGTCCATGCCGACATGTGGCCGGTTGTGACCCCGTCCATCTAGTGACTCCTCGCTGTAGCTCCTGGGAACACCTCTGGACCGGGTGGGTGAGGGGTAACGCCTGCCCGCTGCTCCTCGCTCGTCACGACGGCCAAAGCCGCTGCGGCTGCTCTCGCTGGAGCTCGGGGGGCGAGTCTTGGGTGCGGGAGGTGGGATTCTACCCGGCTCTCTGATGGGTGGAAGTGTGATGACGCGGCGCTCTGCGGGGCCGTCATCAAGGGCAGAGATCATGCTGGGAGGGCCGGGGGAAAATGGGACCGAGTGGTGCATGTGCTGGGGAGGAGGTGGCATCTGTTGCATGTGCTGGGGTGGAGGTGGCTGGGTATGATGGGAGGATGACAGCAAAAGAAAAAGAAAATTCAAATGAGAACAACTGATTTCCGATTTGGTTGGTCAAAAGATCTTACAAACTAATTCTAACTGAGCATAAACCAACCCTAACTCGGCCATGACCTCTACATGATCAGCCAAAACATTAAGCCCACTGACAAGAGAAGTAAATATCATTGATCATCTCGTTACAATGCAATGTTCTGCTGGGGAACTTGGGGTCCAGGCATTCATGTAGCTGCCACTTGACATGCACCACCAGTAGTGTAGTGGTAGCTGATGAGGTGAGAGTACTACTAGGTAGACAGGTAGAGGAGGAGGTTGGTATACTCTGCTATATATTCCAATAGGTTTCTGGCTGATAGGTGGGTATACTGTCAATGCCCAGAAAAAGAGGCAGGTATACCCCATACACCCGGTTATACTACACCACTGCGCACCCTCTAATGTCAACGGCACTCCTCAATGGCAGTGGCCCCCCTGCAGGACAATGCGTCATGCCAAACCGCAAAAACTGCTCAGGAATTGTCTGAGAGCCATGACAAAAAGCTAAAAGGTGTTGATCTGGCCTACAAATTCCCCATATCCAAATCAGTTTGAGCATTCCTGGAATGTGCTGGTACCCCATCTCACCCACAGGACTCGCAGGATCTGCCGCCAACACTCTGGTGCCAACACCACAGGCCAATCGTCAAACAAGAGTGAATCTAGACTCACAAGTCAGTCTTAAGAGCTAAACATACAAACATAGTCCGACTAGAAACACATGTAGCGGTACAAA